GGCCATGGCTACCGCCATTCAGAACCCGCTCAAGTCGTGAGTGTCCCCGCCGTCCCCGCCCCCTCGCGGGACCCCCCCCCGTCCTCCTCCAGGAGCCCTTCCCCCGCCCTACCAGGGGCCGGACCCGCGGAGCGTAGTTGAATGGAGGGGGGGTCCCCAGTGCGCTCCCCCCAAGCCCCTAGGGAGGGAGGGGCTCCCCGACCCCCTTGTTCGGCACCTCCCCGGGGTTAGGGACGGCGCCCTGCCGGGGTCGCGGGGGCGACTCTTCTTTGTCGCTGTCAGTGAAGGAATGTGGGCGCGGGCTGTGGGGGGAGGTGGGCATCGTTTCCTCACCCAGAGTGGGGGTAGCGGCTTCCCTCTCTCTCCTCCCTGATGACTTGGGGGTGCGAGCGCCCGCGCCTAAGTCTGGACCTCGGTCCTCTTGGGTTTCCATCACCTTCTTTGCCCCTCATCAAACCACCTTTCTCTCGTCGCCTTTCCTTTTCTCTGAAGGACCCCCCCACCCCGCAACCCGTGGCACCCACGGGGAGGAAGCAAAGCCAGGAGGGGTGTCTTCTGTTGAATCCCTGATGCGTCCCCCCCCTTTTCCCTCTCTGGTCTCCAGGACCTAGAAGCCTCCCCCCACCCCATGCCTGGGTCAGCTCTCTCTGTCTCCTCTCACAGACATCTATGGGGAGCACCTCTTATCCCCTGGGGCTTTGGGTGGGGGTGCGGGGAGCGCCCTAAAGTCTCCGGGGATTCCCTCCCTTTCTCCTTATCCCCGACTCGGCTTCCTCTCCGGCCCAGTAGCTGGCAACTCAGACGCTTGGGTCCACGGAAACCCCTCCTTCCCTTCCCTCCCCTTGTCCCTGCCACCCCCTGGCTATCTCCTCCTCTCTCCTCCCCTCCTTCTCCGTCTTCCTTCCTCGGGATCCGGGACTCCCGGGTCCCAGCGCTCCCCACCCCCTCTCCCCGGCGGGGACAGCGGGCTCCGAGTGACAGGCACCCGGCTTCTCCCGCCCTCTCTCCCGCAGGCGTGCGCGGTCCTCCCCTCCCCCTCCTCCCTGGCGCCCGCAGAGGAGGGGGGCGCGCGCCTGCGGAGCTGCACAAAGGGGCCCGCACGACCCCCCCCTTGTCTCCCACCCCCGTGCTCCCACAACCTTGACCTTGGGCATCTAAGTGCTGAGTGTGTGGGTGGGGAGTAACAGGGTGGAAGGAGGGCGTCCCCCACCCACTTACCTAGGAAAAGGGCTGGGTCTGCACCAAAGCGCCCCCCATCACTTCTGGTCCTGGAATGGGGGTGGGGTGGGGGTGGGAGAAGCGGGTGGGCGGGGCAGGGATTTATAGGCACAGGCCTACACAGGTAGGCAGAGGGTAGGGAGCCAGTGTCTGGTGGTCTAGGTCAGTGTGTGTGTGGCCTCTCTTCTATGTCACCCTAAGTCACACACATGGATAGAGGTTTTGTTTGTGGGGGACACCCTCAAACTGGGGGCAGTGGTACCCTAAGCCTGTTGATAGAGCTGCAGAAATTTCGTCAGTGTGATTTCTGCTCAGACCCCTTGGAGTTATAGTGTGCCCACTGCAGAGATTTGGCTGCTAAAGGTAGGGGGTACAGGAGGGCCACTGACTCTCCTTGCATCTATGGGGTCTGCAAGAGTGGAGGTGGAGACTCAAGTGTCCCTAAAGAATGCCAATCCTAGCTACTCTGGGTGTTGAGATCTGAGGATCATGGTTCAAAGCCAGCTCCCTGCAGGACAGTCCATGAGACTCCCAGTTCATCCCCCAAAAGCCAGCTATAGAGCTGTGGCTCAAGTGGTGGAGTGCCAGCCTTGGGACAGCACCCAGGTCCTGAGTTCAAGCCCCAGTATGGTACATGTGTGTGTGTGCATGTATGTGTGTGTGCACTGGAGTTGAATCTCTTTGCAGTGGGAGCCAGGAGATGAAAACCTCAGCTTGAACCATTAATTCTGCAGCTCTGAGTCTCAGTGTTACTGTCTGTGCATTGGGGAGAATAAGTAGAGCTTCAAGAGGCATCTTTGTAAAAACCCTTTAGAGATTGGCCCTGAGCAAGAGTATAAATATATAAAAAATTTTTTGTTGGTCCTATGGCTTAAATTCACCGCCTAAGTACTGTCCCTGAGCTCTGTTTGCTTAAGGATAGTACTCTACCCCTGAGCCACAGCACCACTTCCGATTTTCTGGTGGTTCATTGGAGAAAGGAGTCTCACGGACTTTCCTGCTCAGGCTGGCTTTGTACAATGATCCTCAGATCTCAGCCTCCTGAGTAACTAGGATTACAGGTGTGAGCCACTGTTGCCCAGCTTCAAAAGTATAAATGTTTGATTAATAAATACTTATTTCTTTTAGGGGACAGCACCCATGGCATAGGGTTTGGGGACAGGCATATTGTCGAATATTCTAGGAAGGGGAGAGGACTGGAAGGTCAAGTTCATAGGACAGTGTGTGAAGGTGATGGTCAGGGAGCAAGAAAGAGAGCTCTCTCAGGTTGGGAGCCCTGGTTACTGCTGGCTGGAATTGTCATTGTGCTCCTTTCAGAGGTTGAGCAGGGGTGAGTTGGAGGGTTTGAGGCAGAGATGTGGAGAGCAAGTGCAAAAAGGTGTGTTGGGGATCTGGAGAATGATAGAGGCGAGTGGAAGATGGCGAAGGCACAATCAGGGCTGAATCGTTTGATCTGAGGGCAGTGTTTACTGTGGTTAAGGTGGGCTGGCTTTTACAGGGACCTGGAGACCAGAAAGCAAAGGGGTACCAGAGATCCTCAACTCCCTTGTCACCACGGTGTTCTGGAAAGGAATTGAACACCCGATTTAGGAAGGGAGAAGGACAAGCCAAGGCTTGAGATGGCTTAGATGTGAAGTGGGGGTGGGGGTGCTGTGGATGGAGTAGGTTTGTGTGTGTGTGTGTGTGCGTGTGAAGTGAAACAATAAACGTGGGGTGCCTCAAGTGGGTCTCAAAAGGGCGCCAGTCCATGGAGCGCCCCCTGGTGGACAAGGGAGTATTTGTGGGTGTTCATTTCAACACTCCAACCAGTGTCACTTCAAGAGAGTGAGGCGGTGTGTGTACTCAGTGGGTCAGCTTGTTCTCTGGGGATCCCTTGGGATAGAGTCTGTGGGAGATGAGGTAAGTCTTCCATCTTCCATGGAGAACTGTGAGCTTTAAAGATCACCCAGGATAGGCCGAGAATGTGGCTTAGTGGTAGAGTGCTTGCATGCTAGCATGAAGCTCTGGGTTCAATTCCTCAGTACCACATATATAGAAAAAGCTGGAAGTGGTGCTGTGGCTCAAGTGGTAGAGTGACATCTTTGAGCACTCAGAGACAGTGCCCAGGCCCTGAATTCAAGCCCCAGGGGGAAAAAAATCACCCAGGACAAATAACTTTAAGAACGGTTCACAGTGCCTCTGATTTTTCATCTAGAAATGGTGTAATGGTTTTACCCTGGAGAGAACTGTCTCACACATTTGATGGCTGCTCCACATTCATACACAGACACTTACTGAACATTTACTGTATGCATGCATTTTTTGGGGGGGGCGGCAGGCCTGGGGCTTGAACTCAGAGCCTGGGTGCTGTCCCTGAGCTTCCCCCTCCCTTCAAGTCTTGAACTCTACCACTTTAGCCACAAGCACAACTTGTGGCTTTTTAGTGAGTAATTAGAGAGAACAGTTTCTTTTCCTGCCAGTAATCCTAACTACTGAGAAGGTTGAGATCTGAGGATTGAGATTGGAAGCCAGCGTGGGTAAGGAAAGTCTATGAGACTCTTCTCTCCAATTAACCACCAAAGAGCCATAAGTGGTGGTGTGGTTCAAATGATTGAGCGTCAGTCTTGAGCAATAAAAAGCTCAAGGACAGTGCTCAGGCCCTTAGTTCAAGCTCCAGTACCAGCACAAAACAAAACTAAGCCCTATCGAGTTTATTGATCAGCTATTACTTGGCTGGAGATACTTAGGGCGTCTGGAATACCTGCTTTACCACTGAGCTGTGCCCCCAGCCCGTGCCCGGTCAATGAGACATCATCTTTTTTTTTTTTTTTTTTTTTGAGAGGGTTTGGGGGTGGGGAAGGATGGAGCCAGTGATCCAGGTGTCTGCACCCTGCTGGCTCCTTGGTGAGAAGTGTGGGTGGACACTTAGCTGTAAGATGTCTTGAGTCTCTTGGTGTTTGCGTGTGTAGCGTCCAGCAGGGGTGCAGGTGTGGGAGTGTGTGTAATCTGCCACGTGGGGGTTGTGTGCCAGGCCGGGCGTGCATGCATGCGTTGTGTGCACGTGGGACGAAGGATGCACGCGTAAGTGACAGCGTGCTCTCTCATTCCCCCCTCCCCCGCGCCGGGGGTGGGGGGGGCCGAGGAGGTGCGTGGGCCTCCGCCTGAGACTACCACTCCCGGCATGACCCGGGCGCCCCGCCCCACCTCTCTGATTGGCTGACATCCGCGTGCTCCCGCCCCCCGGGAATGAATGGATGGGCGGCCTCAGCGCCCGCCCGACCGCTGGGAGGACCGACCCGGCGGGGACCTGCTGGGGGCAGGACCCGGGGAGCAAGATGGCCACGGTCATCCCGGGCCCCCTGAGGTGGTGCGGGCCGGCGCGGGGCGGGGCGGGGGAGGGCGCGCAGCCGGGCCTGCACGGGCACGAGCGTGTGTGTGTGTGTGTGTGTGTGTGTGTGTGTGTGTGTGTGTGTGTGGCGGCTGGGGGGTGTCAGGGGGACTGTCACCGTGTGCAGGGGTGCGAGTGTGCGGGATCGGGGGTCTCTCGCTAGAATGGTGTTCGATGCGCTGCTCCTGGAGGGGTGGAAGTCATGGGGGAGGTGGAGAAGAGGATCTGGATTTCTTTTGGGGGGAGGAGGGGGGGGAGGATGACCCCCCCCTCCTCCCCCTCCTGTGACCCCTGGTTTGGGGAGAGGTGAAAATCTGAGGATGCCAAGGCCTTGGCAAACTCGTACGGAGTGTTCACTACCTTTGTCTTGGGGTGTAGAATGTGGGTGCGTGTGTGACTTATTTTGCTCATGTGGCTATGTATATGATTTCTTTTATTGTACAACTACATATCTTTGGATATTTGGGGCCCACATGTCCGGTGGGAACTATGCCGTGTTTGGCTTGGATTCTGTCTTTGGATAGGCATGTGTTTCTGGTGCAAAGGTTTGTGTGAATCTGGGTGGATCCTAATTTTCTTGTTGTATAGGTGTGAATCTGTGTGTATTTTAGGTACTTTTTTTTACACGTATTTTTGTCTCTTTGTACATGTGTGCCTCTACTTGTGTGAATCTGTGTGATTTCTTTGTATTGTGGGGCTGGAGCTTTTTGATGGGGTTGGTTTGTGTTATGGCTTTGGGTCTGTGTGTAAGTGCTTATGTGAGTAATTGTCTTCTGACAATTGTGTGCGTGTCTTTGCATATGTGTGGTGGGATCTACTTTCACGTTGTGGGTCTTTGTAGGTGATTTGTTTATATTGTGTGTCTTTGGCTATGTAAGGTATATTGTGCGTAGATATGTGTGGTCTCTCTGTAGTATGTAGCTTGGGGTTTTTGTATTTTTTTTTCTGGAGATATTTGTGTGTGCATAGGTGTGAGATTTGTCTGCTTCTCCTTTGTGAGCATTGGGGTAAGTTTCTCTTTGTGTGTGAATTCCGTATGACCATGTGCGGTTTGTTTGTGTTGTGTGTTTGGATACGTGCAGTGTGGGTGAGTCTCCCTGTGTTTTTGTCCCTGTCTGTATTGTGTTTATCCACTTCTTAGCTGGAGGCCTCTTCAGTCCCAGATTAGGGTCCCCTCCCCCTCCCCAGGGTCCAGGAGGGAACCACTGGGATGGGAAGAGGTGAAGTTGGAAGGGGTGGGGGCGGGGCGGGGTGTCCGGCCATCCATTTCCAATCAGCTGGAGCCAGCCGTTGGGGCCAGGGATGGGGTGCTGGGACTCGGGGCCACCCTTGCTGACAGGCGCCTGCCTGCTGCTCGCTCGCCCCGTAGCCTAGGCGAGGACTTCTACCGTGAGGCCATCGAGCACTGCCGCAGCTACAACGCGCGCCTGTGCGCCGAGCGCAGCCTGCGCCTGCCCTTCCTCGACTCGCAGACCGGCGTTGCTCAGAACAACTGCTACATCTGGATGGAGAAGACCCACCGCGGGCCAGGTACCGGCGGCCAGGAGGGCGGGGCGGGGCCGGCGGGGCAGGGCGGGGCCGGCCTCCCTGGCTGAGATCTTACCCTCTTCTCTCTCTAGGTTTGGCCCCAGGACAGATCTATACTTATCCTGCCCGCTGTTGGCGAAAGAAGCGGAGACTCAACATCCTGGAGGACCCCAGACTCAGGCCCTGCGAGTACAAGATCGGTGGGTGGAGCTTATGAGTGCACATCTTCATCCTAAGTGTCCCACGGCCTGCTCTCTGCCCAGCCTGAGTGTTTTGGGTATATTTCAGAGCTCCCACAGCTTTGAGTCCCAGAGCTTCAGCTGTGTCTCCTCCATGGGCCCAGGGGACTGGGGCACATTGTGGTACCTGTCAGGCATGTCTAGGTATATGAAGTCTCTATCTGTGACCCTCCCCAGTGAGCTGGGGTGCATTTGTATCTGGCTGTACTTCTTTTTGTGGGTACTCTGATTATTTCCCTCCCTGAGTGTGTTTGGATATTAAAAGTGTCTGGTTGTAACTCTTCCTGTCTGAAGAGAAATTGGTCAGTCTGTGCCTCTTGATGTTTCCCAGTGTATTTTTTCTTGTGTGTATCTGGTTGGCCCATCTGAGAATCCAGTTGTTCTGGGGCATGACTGAGTACCTGTGCACAGCTGGCTGTCTCTTCCTGTGGGAATCTGGACATGTTAGAGTGTCTGGGAGAGTCTTGCCATTTGTGTGTACATTCAGTGTGTTTCTGTGTGCTAGATCAGCATGGGTGGACTTAGTGCTTCTTGCATGTGTCCAGCAAAATCAGAGTCCAGCAAAATCAGAGACATAGGCTTCTTGTCTTCCACTATCCAAGACTGAGGGACTGTGTTATATCTGGGAAGCAGTGGAGTGCTCACCTGTCTATCTTTGTCTCTCCTCCTGTGCATAGTTTGTGTCTGATCAGTGCTTTCTGGGGATGTGTGTGTGTGTGTGTGTAGATGTTTGTGTGGCCTGGCTGTGCCTTCCTCGTATAGGTCTCGATATCACAGTAGGCCTAGTGGTCTCCCTCAGAGAATCTCTCAGTGTATCCCAGTCTGGATAAGCCTCTCCCAGGTATGGCCAAGAGTCTGGCTGGATCTCCTCTGAGTGTGTAGTGTCTCTGAGGACTGGTGTTGTGTCTTCCTTTGACTGTCTGTCTTGCATGTTCCTTGTGGATGTCCACATGTCCCATTTAAGTATCCATATCTACTCCCTTGGGTCTGGCTGCCCCCCCTTCTGTGGCTCTAGGGTTTATGAGGGTTTAGGTGTGTCTAGGGCTTTGGTCATGTCTCCTCCTGAGTGTGTCCCAGTGGGGGTGAGGGTGTGGCTGTGTCTCTCCAGGATCTGGGCATCCTTCCAGGGTATGTGATGGAATCCTTGCTTTGGTTGCTGACCAAGTGTGGGGAGGCCTCTTCCCTCCCACAAAGAGTGTGGTCCCCAACCTTGACCTGCCCCCTTATCCCTACCATTTGTCCCCAGATTGTGAGGCACCATTGAAGAAAGAGGGTGGTCTCCCGGAAGGGCCAGTCCTCGAGGCTCTGCTGTGTGCTGAGACTGGGGAGAAGAAGGTGGAGCTGAAGGAGGAGGAGACTATTATGGACTGTCAGGTAGATTCTTCCCTCCCACCACCCCCTGCAACCCCTAACCCAGCTGCAGATCCTCCTCTCACCCCCACAAGCAGCTACCTGCGGCTACTCCACATCCCTCCAGCCCTTAAGCCTTCCTGGTTCCTTAAGGCCTTCAGGTATACTGAGTCTCCATCTTCCCAGACCTCCTCCTCCTCTCATTGGAAGATACCCCTCCTCCCACCAACCTGCATTCCCTCCCTAGCCTGTACCAGATCAGTACCCCCATCATTCTTTCTCTCTCTCTTTCTTTCTTTCTTCCTTCCTTCCTTTCGTCGGTCGTGGGGGCTGAACTCTGGGCCTGGGTGCTGTCCCTCAGCTCTTCAGCTCAAGGCTAGCACTCTACCACTTGAGCTACACACCACTTCTGGCTTTTATCTGCTTATGTGGTGCTGAGGAATTGAACCCAGGGCCTCATGCATGCGAGGCAAGCACTCTACCACTGAGCCAACTTCTCATCACTCCCCCCCCCCCCCGCATCTTTCTGACCTCTCAATCTTCCTTTTCCTGGGGTCCAGAAACAGCAGTTGCTGGAGTTTCCGCATGATCTTGAGGTGGAAGACTTGGAGGATGACATTCCTAGGAGGAAGAACAGGGCCAAAGGAAAGGTATCCCCAAAGCTGCTCACCCCTCCCCTCAGGGACTGTACCCCTAAAGCTGCTCACCTCTCCTCTCAGAGACTGCTCATACTTCCTAGGCATGTGCCACAGGTCTGACCATATTTCACTCTCAGAACAGCCTGAATAGGGAGGAGATCCAGGCTGACATGGATTAAACCATTTGTAAAATAGGAAATTGTGTAGTGGATTAGAACTATTTTTACCACCACCTCCCCCAGACCCTGGGGTCTAGGGCTTGAAATCAGGGCCTTGCGTTCTTGTTTGGCTTTTTTTTTTTTTTTTGGTCAGTTGTGGGGCTTGAACTTTGTGTCTAGGCGCCGTCCCTCAGCTCTACAGCTCAAGGCTAGCACTCTGCCACTTGAGCCACAGTGCCACTTCCAGTTTTCTGAGTGGTTCATTGGAGATAAGAGTCTCACAGGCTTTCCTGCCTGGGCTGGCTTTGAACCGTGATCCTCAGATCTCAGCCTCCTGAGGAGCTAGGATCACAGGAGTGAGCCACCAGCGCCCGGCTCTTGCTTGGCTTTTTTCCCCCTCTCATAGCTAGTGCTCTACCAGTTGAGCCACATTTTCAGGCTAGCATTTTGCTTGTTAATTGGAGATGGAGTCTTTATAGACTATTCTGTCCGGGCTGGCTTTGAACCACAATCCTCAAATCTCAACCTCTTGAGTAGGATTACAGGCGTGAGCCACTCACTCCCAGCAACTAGAACGATCTCATGGCTATCTCAGAGAGGTTTAACACTCTATAGCTAGGAAGAATAAATTGCTTGGTGGAGGAGCAGGAATACTATTACGATTACTATAATTTTTGCTGTGCTAGGGCTTAGACCCTCAGCTTGCTAAGCAAGCATTCTATCACTGAGCAATACTATCAGCACCCTCAAATCAAATATTTGTGTTATTTTTCTTCCTCCTCCAAATTTGTTTTTATTATGATAAAGGTTATATACAGAGGGGTTACAGTTACATAGTCAGGTAATGAGTACCTTTGTTTTTGGACAATGTCACCCCTTCCCTGTCTCCCAGTTTTTCCCTCCCGTCCCCTTTGTGTGTGTGTGTGTGTGTGTGTGTGTGTGTAACTTAAGTTGAAGTCCAAATGATGAAGCCCCATGGGTGGTGTACACCTGTGATCCCACTTCAGGAGGCTGAGACAGGAGGATCTCAAGTTGCATGGCAGCTTGGGTTATGTAGTGCTACCCTTCCTTAAAAAAGAAAAAAAAGAAAAATTCAAGTTCAGATGGTGACAACTTGGTTTTCTGGGTCTCTCACTTATGCCCATTCTCCTGTGTCCTGCAGGCATACGGCATCGGGGGTCTCCGGAAACGCCAGGACACTGCTTCCTTGGAGGACCGAGACAAGCCGTATGTCTGTGATAGTGAGTCCTTCTGCAGAGGGGGAAAGAGAGAGTGGGGCCCAGAGTCCTCTCCCCTGATGGCTCTCCCCCCTCTGTCCTGGCCTTGGGTGGGTGTGTATGTTTAGGTCTTGGGCAGTGGGGGTGGTGTGATCCTGGAGGCCAGGGTGGAGGCAGCGGCTGAGGAGGCTGACAGCTGCCCGCTCGCTCGTCCTCCAGTCTGTGGGAAGCGGTATAAGAACCGGCCAGGGCTCAGCTACCACTACACCCACACCCACCTGGCTGAGGAGGAGGGGGAGGAGCACGCCGAGCGCCACGCCCTGCCCTTCCACCGGAAAAACAACCACAAACGTGAGCCCAAGGGCCAGGTTGGGGAGGCGAGGGGCCCAGGGATGGTGGAGGGGGGTGCTGAAGAAGCCTGGTGGCGGCTGTGGAGGGGGTGGGGGCACATTAGACATTTCTGGAAAATCTCCAGCTCAGAGGTTCCCTCCCCCACCGACCATAGGGATGCTGGCTCCGGGGTTGCCATGGCAACCAACCATCTCTTCCCTCGCTCCTGGCCCGGGCGTAATATTTCTGGGTCTGATTTATTGTTTCAATTAGAGCTTGGGGAGGGGGTGATAGATGACTCCCCTCCCTCCCTGAGCCTCCCTTTCTCCCTTTTCTGCTGTGCTTTTGGCTAAGGGGCTAAAGGGTCGGGTTGGTGGCCCAGGAGCCCTTGGCACCCACCCGTGTTCAGCCCACAGCATGCCAGCTGGGTGATGGGGGAGGGGAGCTGACTTCCGTCCATCTCTTGGAGGCAGAGGGCAGCATCCTCAGATCAGGCCCACCACATATCCGGGCACCTCTGTGCTCTGAGCTTCTCTCCATACTAGGTCTTGGCCAGAAACATCTGCAGAATTTTACCTGGGCGGGGCTTAGCTAGGGGTTGCTGCCTGGCAGATAGGTAGAGTTGTGAGGCAGAGGCAAGGCTGCTCTTCCGAAGCCCGTACTGATTGTCACATTTTTGTATAATAAAAGAGAACATAATCAATTGTACTAAGAGCTGGTGGTCCTCATGAGAATGACGCCCCCCTCCCCAACTCCTTTTTTTTTGTTACTAATCACAGGTCAGGGTAGCTACTCTTTCCACATTCTCCTGGTGCTTGGACTAATAATAGCCCAGCCCCAGGGCCAAGGCTGGGGGAAGGAGGGGCAGGGCAGTTGGAGCCTTGCCTCTGGTGAGAGCCCCTCTCTCTGTCCCCCACCCCCAGAGTTTTACAAAGAATTGGCCTGGGTCCCCGAGGCACAAAGGAAGCACACAGGTAGGGATGCTTCTTTCCACTCCTACTTCAGCAGCCCTTGACTGGGTGGTCCTCCTGCCCTGTGCCCAGCCCTGCCCACTGTCTTTCAGCCAAGAAGGCACCTGACGGCACTGTCATCCCTAATGGCTACTGTGACTTCTGCCTGGGTGGCTCCAAGAAGACGGGGTGTCCCGAGGACCTCATCTCTTGTGCAGACTGTGGCCGATCAGGTGATACCCCCATTGGAGGTGGAGAAGAGGGCCAGAAGTCCAGGCCTGGAGGATGGGGAGGTTGTATGTGGGGAACCAAGGCCCCCATGGCTCAGCTGCTGAGCACTGTAGGAATCCCAGTGGGATTCCCAACTGGGAATGGTGGGACATGGCCATTGTGCCATTGTACGTAGTGACCCATGCTAATCGCGGCACGGACAGTAGTGAGAAGATGGCAGAGGCATTGTGGGTAGGAGACTGAGACCTGGGAGTGCTGGATTGCTACTGCCTGGGTCCTTATTTGCCGAATGGAATGCCATTTCCTATGGTGGTGGCTTCAGCATGGTAAGAAATTTGTGACGGTTGTGGTATCCTGGGTTGTGAGGTCTGCTTCTTGTGGCAGTTAGATAAAATGAAATTGTAGTTGTTAAGGCACTCAGGCAGCAGCTGTGGGGTTGGCTACCATAGGGGATGGCCAGAAGTGTCAGATCTGTGGGTGTCAAGTACTGTGGCAGTGTTGGTGGGTGTTGGGCATCATGGATGACAGCTGTGGGCAGCGACTGTGGGTGTGGGTATCAGGCCCTGTCGGTGGTGTGGGTATCAGGCCCTGTGGGTGATGATGTTGAGGGCAGGCACAGTGGGCACTGAGTGTGGATGGCAGGAGTGGTGGCTCTGGTGTCAGGCACCATGGCTGTAGCTGCAGGTGTCTGCCCTGGGGTACTGAGATGCCAAACCAACTGGTATTATGAGTAGTGTTAGGAACAGTTTCGTTGCTGGGGCATCTTGTGGAATCAAGGTGTGGGGACCCCTGTTGTGCAAGGCAGTTGCCATGGCATTGTGGCTGGGAGAAGGCGGTTGCCACGTGACTGTGGTTAACAGGCGCACTTGGCCATATTCCGTGGTGGGTAATGGAATGTGGCTGCCTCAGCCCGGTGGTTAACAGACTGTGGTTGCCCCGGTGTTGTGGGTGGTAAGACGTGGTTGCCACAGCACTGTGGGTAATGGAATGTGGTTGCCATAGCATTCTGGGGAGCAAAGTGTGGTTGCCATGGCGTCTGGCTAGGAGACTGTGATGGCCAAGGTATAGCTGCTTGCCTGCTGGGCGTCTTGTGTAGGGGTGAAGCTGCTTCTTCCCTAGGGGGGTCAAGTAGCCACCAGAGGCAGGATGATTTCCTCCCCCCGCAACCACAACCCTGCCTCTCGGCCCCCAGGACACCCCTCGTGTTTACAGTTCACGGTGAACATGACAGCTGCTGTGCGGACCTACCGCTGGCAGTGTATTGAGTGCAAGTCCTGCAGCCTATGTGGCACCTCGGAGAATGACGTGAGTGTCCGCCCTGCCTCCCTGGGGCATCCCCAGCCGCCCTCCCTGCCAGCCCCACCAGGAGTCCTCCTCACCTCCCCCACCCCCCGCCCCAGCCCCAGGCAACCAGCAGTAATGCGGAGACTTACTGTTATTAGTGTCCATTACTGGAGTCTGGCACTATTTTGCTCCTCTCCCTGACACTACCCTACCAGATCTATGGATTGCTGCCCTGCTCTCATTTCCACTGCATAGAAGAAAGGAGCTCAGAGAGGGAGAATGGGCTGTCTGAGAAAGGGGAAGAGCCGGGATTCTAACCCATGTCCACAACTCCAGAGCTAGTATCAGGCCCTTAGTGTCACATAGCATTCCAGAGTTACAGAGTGACATGGATGTCTGCTGATCAGGCAGAGGCCATAATGCAGACCCTTTTCAGAGTGCCCCCCCACCCCCCTGCCCAGCACCCTTGGGACCAGGCCCCTTCCCCAGCCCCCCACCCCGGTTTCTGGTGCCCATGCCCCCAGGGTGCCAGCTGGGTGGGTCTCACCCCCCAGGACCAGCTGCTGTTTTGTGACGACTGTGATCGGGGTTACCACATGTACTGCCTGAGTCCCCCCATGGCGGAGCCCCCAGAAGGTGAGGGATGAGGGGGACTCCTGTGGGGGATGGGGTGTTGGGAAGTTGGCTTCCTGGTGGCAGAAGCCATGCACGCTGCTGGGTGGACATGGGCCTGATTTCATCCTCTGGCCACCCTCTCAGGGAGTTGGAGTTGCCACCTCTGCCTGCGGCACTTGAAAGAAAAGGCCTCTGCCTACATCACCCTCACCTAGGCCTGGCTCTGCTTCTCCTGGACCTGGACCTGGACCTGGACCCCTCCGGGTGGTGCTTGCCCTCTGCCTATCAGAGCTCCTCTTTTCCACCTTCATACCCAGCAGCAGGAGGAGGGCGAAGCCTAGAGAGGGCAGGGCTGCCATCCCTTCTGCAGGTGGAATGTTAGCCCTGCAGGCTGGGGCCCAGCACTGCCCCTCTCCCTCGTGCCCTCCTTCCCTTCCCCATCCCTTGGCAAATGGGCACCAGGGGCTTCCACTCCCCTCAAAGCCATACCCCGCCTCTTGGCGGGCACAGGGGGGTAGTGGATGCCAACCTGGGGCATGGACAGAGCCTTTTTCTAAAGAAAAAGACAAAAAGTTAAAAAAAAAAGAAATTAATATATACAAAGAGTCCTATAAGGCCCGGCTGGGTGGAGGTAGAGGGGGTATGGCTGAGCATCTGCTGGGCACCTGACTCTGCCAGCTTCCTGCCTGGCACTCCCCACCCCCGCCCCAATTCTGGAGTTGCAGCTGTTCCACCTCTCCATCTGAGGTGGGCACCGTTCCCCCCCTCATGCCCAGTGGGCAGTGTCCACCCCTCACCCCCCTCCCGGTGCCCATATGGATACTGCATGATGTGAACCATGGTTTTGAACTCTTCCTGCCCCTCCCCTATGCCCACCAGGTGCCTGCCAGGCGGGAGGTGAGTGGCCGGGGAGTCCGGAGGGGCCCCTGCCAGCCAGCACCCGCCCGCTGGAATTAGAAGCACAGACTCTCTACAATGGACTCAATTTTTCCTCCTTCCCAGCCCCCTTCCCACCTGGCCAGGCTGGGCTGCCCCCTACCACCCTCGCCGGCCATTTTGGAGGTAGTGAGGGGGTGTGGTTGTTTCTTGTGGTTGTGTGTGTTCGTTGTTCGGGTTTAAAAAAAAAAAGGGAAGTTGAGACTACAAGTGGGGGAGGGGGAGGTGCTGGGGGAATCTCCCCCCAATCCAGCAGCACCTCCCTCCCTTTGTAAACAAGTCTCCTTTATTGCCTGCCTCTGCTGTGAATTAACTTGTTCTGTGTATTAAACTGGGCCTGACCCCTCTGCCTACGATTGTCTCCTCCTCCAGCCTGATTTGGGGTGTAACCAAGAAGGGGAGCCAGGGCCTCCTTGGAGTAGCAACTGGGCACTGGGTGGACCACCACCTCCTCCAGGCCCTGGTACCACGCCTCCCTCTGGCTTTGTCCCAGCTTCTCTGGACTAGCAGGAAAGAAGAGGGGGATGGGGGATGGGGTGGAGGGGGCTCCCGCCCAGCCAGCTGTGGTTGCCCTGGCAACGGACTGCTGCAGCTGCAGCGGAGGCATAGGGGAGTTGGGAGGGAAGACTGGGGGAAGGGAGGGATGGAAAGAGAGGGATCTGGTGGCCTCTTCCTTGCTGGGGTGGGAGCAGGGGTGTTTGGCTTCAAACAGTGGTAGGGGAAGAGTGGAGAGAAAGATGGCAGAGGAGAGGAGTGCAGGAGGAAGCATCCAGATACGGACTTTAGGAGAGACTGTGATTTGGATATATATTGGGAGGTGGGAGCTAGGGTTAGTATGAGGAAGAATCAGAACACAGATCAGGAGTAAGGATGGCAAGAATCACAAATTTATTGCGAGGATAAGCAAAGGGCAGAGCAGGCAAGAAATAGATGAAGAGAACCCCAGGCAGGCATTCCTGGGGATAAGAGTCAGAAGAGAGGAAAGGAACAGAGGTGGAGATGGAGCAGGAGAGGAAATAACAGTAATAAAAAGTGCAGCCACTATGAGACCAAAGAGAAGGAAATCAATAGGGGTTCGGAGAGAGGGTCCGGCGGGAGAGAGAGCAGAGAGAGAGGGGGAGACAGGAGAGGGAGGGAGGGGAGAGAGAGAGAGAGAGAGAGAGAGAGAGAGAAGGAATGAGGGAGGCCCATGTGGGGAGATGAGTAGGATCCAGGGACAGGCAAATTCTGGGACAAACTAATCAAATGAGGGACACATGGACATTTGGGGAGGGATGACACAAAGAATCTAGGGGAACAGAAAAATCTGCCGAGTGCCAGTCAGACGTGTGGAGGCTGAATGGGGGGGAGGGCCCAAGCTGGGCCAGGAAAACTGGGGCAAGATGAAGGGAAGGTAGGCCAGATCAGGGGCTGGCGTGTGCAAAGGGAATGTGTGTGTGTGTGTGTGTGTGTTGGGGTGTTGGGAGTTGCTGGTGTGTCTCAGGCGCCAGGAGAGGATGTGAGAACAGTTTGTTCCCAGGTTCCCTTCCCGTCCCCCCCCTCCCTTTGCCTCTGTTGGTTGGGGGAAGGGCAAGCTTGAGGATGGGGCCTCCAGGACTGGAGAAAAGAATGGATGGCTCTAGCATGTTGAGCTAGGGGAATAGCTGGGTCTCTTCTGGATGCAGTGCTCTTGGTTTTTTTGGGGGAGAGGTTTGCCTGACGCCCACGTGGGCAGGTACAGAGCTGGGCTTAGCCCAGACAGCTGTGCCCTTCCCCATCACAGGAGCATCACCATCTCCAGCCTCTCTCTTGAGTGGGCACTGTGCCTCCCACTAGCCTGGGGCAGGGGCAGCTTCCGCTCCTAGCCAGACGCGCACCACCAGCCACAGCCCACCAAAGGACCGAAGAGGTAGAGGATGCACATAACCCCTTGTGGGTGGGACAGGACATGCAAATAAACCTGGTGATGAGGAGTGTGGCCTGGCACTAGCTGAGGCTCCAAGAGCTTAAGCTTCAGGACTTGTGGACCCACCAAACATTCTGTACAATCCCTGAGCTCTCTGTGTGCACACACACAGGTCCTGGAGCTTGAACTCAGGGCCTGAGTGCTATTCTTGCTCCAGGTTGGCAGTCTACCACTGGAGCCACAGCACTTCTTTTTTTTTGGTGGTTAATTGGAGATAATAGTCTCATGGTCTTTCCTGCCTGAGTTGGCTTCGAACTACAATCGTCAGATCTCAGCCTCCTGAGTAGCTAGGATTACAGGTGTGAGCTACCAGTGCCCAGAGAAAACCCTGATTTAAAAAAAAGCTGACCTACTCTAAAACCAGCATTTCTTTCTTTGTATATGGGTCTGGCTCCCACCTCTCCTAGGTATAGGACTTAGGAGAATCTTGCTCACTTGAATTTAAGGACATTTTATATGTGCAGGGTCAGATTTCTGTAATTTGGGTTCCAAGAAAAAGTTTGTGAGGCTGACGAGTCAGTTCTTAGGAAAGTGTGTGCTGTCCAGGCAGCCACCCAGCTAGGGAACACACAAGCCATTTCTATGAAACATTTATTTTCCTTTGAAACCTCCAGAAACATGCCAGAAAAATCTCAAGACAGAGATGGAAAGAAGAAAAAAAAAAAGACAATGAATTAAAAAAAAATCCAAATGAAACAAATCAACATGGAAAAAAAAAAGCCTATCTTCAGCCAATGGATATAACACCAACCTCAAATTAAATAACTGGTTTTGCAGAAATTTAAAAAAACAGAAAATGTAAGCAAAAAAAATCATAATTTACACTTGTCAATGTACATGATTACGTCCCCAAAATGATTAGAATGATCTGAAGATGAGGAGACATCTAAAAAAAAAAAAAAAAAAGAGAAAGCAAAAGGCTCCAGGTTTGTCTGAGGAAAGGGGTGGAGGCAGAGTAAGGGAGGGTTGTAGGGGAGAGGGGAGGAGACGTCACAGTAGTTGGCCATGGCTGAGGATGGCTGGGCAGCTGCCTGGTCTCCTACCACCACTGGCAATGTTGGAACTGAGGTTTTGCTCTAGATGCCACCCCTCTGGCCAGCCATGGGTACCCTTTATTCCGGCCCTGTCCTGCTTCTCTGTCTAGGGGTGCAAGTCTGTCAAGAGGCTCTTCCTCAAAGAGAAGGCCTGGTTTTCAGAGGTGGGCCTGGTTGCCTGGCATTGGCTCTGGGCTGCCAACTCCTCCACCTCCCACTGCTCCCCACCTCCAGGGGGGTGGCGGTAGTGGTACATGCTTCAATTCTCAGCTTGAGGTTGGGGGGGGGGAGTCCACAGACCGTGGCCATCCAGACTCGTTCTGGCACAACTCTACATGAAAAAATAAATATATATATAATATATTTTTTTGTTTTTTGTTTTTTTTTTTTAAAGAAGGAAAAAAAAAAAAAGAAGCTCATGTTTCTTGGTGAACAGCGTAGTACCACACGGAGCTGCCCCTTATTGCCTTTTGAAAACTAGCATCTCTGGGGGTTGCACTGGGAGTGCTCCCCGGGGAGCACAGTGAATGTGTCTGGGTGGTGCCCGCTGCGGGGGCTGCAAGACTGGCCCTGGAGCCTTGCAAAGGAAAATGAGAGCAGACAGGAGACAAGGCTGCTTTTCCTCAGCCTGGCCCAAGGCTCCATGGGTGCCTTCTGAGCCCTGAGCTGGTCAGGGCTGGGTATGGGTAGGAGAGAAAAGGCCTGCAGCCCAGGCCCAGGCACTGTGGCCTCTGCTGGGAGGAGCTGATAAGGAAAAGATAGTACAAACAGTCTTGATTGTACAAACCAGAGTTTTTCTCTTGGTGGACTCTGGATACTGGGGTCTCCTCTCTTTATCTGGGGGCCCCAGGAAAATAATTTAAACTCTATGAAAAGTGCTCCTGGCTGCTTTGTGAAAGGGTCGGGGGAAGATGATGGTGTCCATGCTGTTGGGAGCTAGCACACTGGGGACGAAGGAGCCCTGGGCTGTGACCTCTGGGGTGTGGGGAATGAAGGGGGCTCATTTGGTGTCCCACTGTGTTTCTCATGCAGGGAGCATCCCTTGTCCCTCCCGCCGTCCAAGAGCTCCAGCAGCTGGGTCCAAGGACAAGGAAGAGGACTGATGGCCCACAGGCCCACGGGGTGGGGGAGATGGGGGGCAGCTCAGAGGGCCCTGAGACAGGAGCAGAGCTGGTTTCTACCAGCCCTGGTTCCCAAGTCCCTGCAGAGGGCTATGGGCTGGCAGGTGCCAGGGCTCTCTGGCTGGGTGACCCCTCCACTTGCAACCAGGAGCCCAGAGAGGGAGAGAGGAGTCAGGAGCCTGGGCCCAGCCTGCAGGGGAGGCATCATGGCTGGATGAGGGTGTTCGTGGTGCAGGACCTCCCCGGCTGTCTCAGAGTTCCTTTTCCCTACTGAAGAGCTCAGCAAACTTGCGAAGCTGCTCGCTGGCGGCCTGCGACTCCTCCTGCAGCCGCTGGTTGTTCTGCCGAAGGCTGGCCACCTCTGACTGCAGTACCACCTTGTCCTGCTTCTCCTGTGACAGTAGGAGGGTGGGGTCAGACACACTGGCCTGGTAGTCTTCCTCAGGCTGGGCCTGGGACAGCCAAGGCCTCTCTGGATTCGAATCTCAGTTCTGCTTCCACAACTGAGTGACTAAGTTACTTCATGTCACTGGGTCTCATCCCTCAATTCTGACATGGGTCATGCAGAAGGGTCCCGAGGTCCCCTATGTAAAGGTCTTAGAACACAGGCCCATTAAGATTTTTTTTTTTTTTGGTTTTGAACTCTGGGCCTGGGTGCTATCCCTCAGCTCTTCAGGTTAAGGCTAGCGCTCTACCACTTGAGCCACAGTGCTACTTCCAGTTTTCTGGTGGTTAACTGGAGATGAGTATCATGGACTTTCCTGCCAGGGCTGGCTTTGAACTGTGATCCTCAGATCTCAGCCTCCTGAATAGGTAGGATTACAGGTGTGAGCCACTGGCACCCAGCTTAGTTTTTTTGCCGGTCGTGGACCTGAACTCTGGGCCTAGGCACTGTCCCTCAGTTCTTTAGCTCAAGGCGAGCGCTCTACCACTTGAGCCACAGTGCAACTTCCGGCTTTTTCTGTTTATGTGGTGCTGAGGAATAGAACCTAGGGCCTCATGCATGCAAAGCAAGCACTCTACCCCTGAGCCACCTTCCCAGCCCAGATTTTTTTTTTTTTTTGAGGTGGGGTCTCACTATGTATGTATGCAGGCTGGCCTCTTAATTTTTTTTTTTTTTTTTGGTGGTTCAGTGGAGATAAGAGTCTCATGGTCTTTTCTGCCTAGGCTGGTTTCAAATCAAGACCCTCAGATGTCGGCTTCCTGGGCAGCCAGTGTGAGCCACCCAGTTTAGGATTATGTTTTTTGTTTTTTTTTGGTCGGTCATGGTACCTGAACTCTGGGCCTGGGCACTGTTCCTCAGCTCTTCAGCTCAAGGCCAGCATTCTACCCTTTGAGCCACAGCGCCACTTCCGGCTTTTTCTGCTTATGTGGTGGGCCTCATGCATGAAAAGCAAGAACTCTACCACTGAGCCACCTTCCCAGCTCAGGATTATGTTTTTGATAGATACTATCCAATTGTTTGTCCAAAGACTGGGCCAATGTGTTAGCTCCCCAAGAATGTCTGAGTTTCTTCGTGTGCTTCCTAGCCCTGAGGATGGCCTTTTTTCACTCTTTACTACTAAGTACATGGGGAGCACAAGAGTAGGGCGGGGACAGGTGCTGCCCTCATGTCTGGGAAGTGAGGCAGAGGCATGTGCAGGGGAGGCCTCACCTTCTGGAGGTCTGTGTGCAGTTGCTTCAGCATCACTTCCAGCTGGTACACCTTGCCAGTCAGATCCAAGGGTGGCTCCTCACTGCAAAGACAGGGCAACAAGGCAAGCTGAGGCTTGCCAGGTCCGGGGGAGGACTCTTGGCCCATAGCTGGGAGGGACACGGGGTACAGGCTTTCTGGTTCCTGAGGCTCTGGTGAGTCCCTGCCTTGCTGGAATCCAGGGGGTGATGAGAGTGGCTCTGGGGGAGCCAGGGCAGCCATCTTGGGGTCAATCTCTTCACCGAGGCTTTCTGTGGTATGTGTTGGTAGGTTTGGGCTTTGGGGAGCACCTCTTCCCTGAGTCCTCCGAGTCTCAGGCCGAGCCCCATTCTAAGCACAGGAGCACACAGCAGACAACTGGACAAAAAGGGGTGCTGTGGGCAGGACTAGCAATAGCAGCACTGTATCAGAGTCCACAAGGACCATCCTCCTGGGCTTTGGGTTGCTATGGGGCTGCCATGGGATAGAGGATGAAATTCAGACTATGGCAGAGGACACAGTCCCCACATATGCTGGCAGAAGTGGCATCTGAGGCCAGAACTCCGTGCCTGGGTTCTGGGTATGAATGCTCCTCTGGCTGTTCTGGTGAGGCAGCAGCAAGATGCCTAGGCCCTTCTGCTCCTCCCTTCCCAGTCCTGACTCCCAGAAAAGGCTTGTCCTGCCCACCCTGCAGTGTGCACTGATCATCACACACATGTATGCACGCGCACACGCGCGCGCACACACACACACACACACACACACACACACACACACACACGGTGCAGCCTGTGGGAGCAAGTGCGCAATAGTGGCTGAGCCAGAAAGAAATGAAATAAATGTGAAGAGCCCTGTGTGAGATGACCCAGAGGAATGTCTGTCCCTCTGTCCTCCCCAGGGACAGGGCTTGACCCTAGTCATCAAATTTCACAGATGAAGCCAAACAGCGCATGCAACAGTCGTAGCAGTGACCCTAGTCATCAAATTTCACAGATGAAGCCAAACAGCGCATGCAACAGCATGGCTGGTGTGTGTGTGTGTGTGTGTGTGTGTGTGTGTGTGTGTGTGTGTACGTGCATGGAGGAGGAGACCAAGAAGTAGAGAGAGACAGACAGGAGGTAGAGCTGAGAGTCTGGGGGTACAGAGTCTTCACACAAGAGTCATCCCAATAGAAGGCGCTATTGTAGAGGGCAGGGCACAGTCTATTTTGGTCCTTGCTGATTTTAGTGAACGATGGGCACAGCATTAATGACTATTCCAGCCTGTCAGCTAAAGAGAACTCTCAACCAGGCAATGGAGGCGTGTCTGTCCTGCAGTAGCTACTCCCTCTACCCTGGCACCATGTTCCTCTCTTATTGTACAGACCCAGTCCTGGGTATGCCCACACAAACTCACCTCATGGTAGGGGTGGTCCTAGGGGTTGAGGGTCCCCGCTCCAGGCTCAAGTGGCTGTGGACAGGACTGTGTGCAGGTGGGATGTCCGGGCTCAGGGCTGGGTCATTTAGAGAAAAAAGCGAGACAGCTCTTTGCACTGCCGGAAAGACAGAAGACAGCAGGGCTGAGTCCTTGTGGGTGTGAAGGGAGGGGCCCCAGCATTTCCCTACAAACTCCCAACCTCCACCACTTTATTTATTTATTAACTTATTTTTTGGTGCCAGTACTAGGATTTGAACTCTGGGCCTCTAGCTCTCATTTGGCTTTTTTACTCAAGGATAGTGTTCTACCACTTGAGTTATATTTCCATTTCTGGCTGTTTGTTGGTTAACTGGAGATAGGCGTCTTGAGGATTTATCTGCTCCTGCTGGCTCTGAACTGCAATTCTCAGATCTCAGCCTTGAGTAGTTAGGATTATAGGCATTAGTTACCAGCACATAGCATTTTTGTGGCAGTGTGGGGATTTTTACTCAAGGCTTTGCATTCTTCCTAGTACTCTTCACTCATGGCTGGTGTTCTACCACTTGAATAATGTCTCTAGTCTAGCCTTTTTGCTGATTACTTGGATATGAGAGTCATAGATTCTTCTGCCTAGGCTGGCTTCAAACCTTAGATCCTAGATCTCAGTTAGGATCAGTGTGTGTGTGTGTGTGTGTGTGTGTTAGTGTGTATTAGTTTGTGTGTGTGTGTTATTCCCTTGATTTCAGTTAGGATTACTCGTGTGTGTGTGTTATTCCCTTGTATTCCCTTGATCTCAGGATTACTCGTGTGTGTGTGTGTGTGTGTGTGTGTGTATGTGTGTGTGTGTTATGCCCTTGATATGCAGTCTGGGGACGGGACCCAGGGCACTGCTCTTTCTAGGCAAGTAGCAGCTGTCCTCATGATGCTTTTTCTTTTTTCCTAAATAACAAATCCCCAATTTCTTTTTTCCCCATTTCTTTCTTTCTTTTTTTCCCTTGCAGAGCTAAGGATGGAAGCCAGGGTGACTCCATTTCAGCTGGGCACATGGCCTCATTCTCCCCATGCCCTACAGCCAAAGATGGGCATGGGAGATCAGGCCAAGGGGAAGTGAGTGCAGAAAGTGGGAGCCTTTGGGAAGTGCTCTTAAAGAGAAGAGAAGGTAGGTGTCTATCTCTCCTGTGGCTTGAGCGGGATGTAATGTCCAGAGCCTAGCAGCCATTATGGAAAGAAAGAGTAAGGCTCTTGAAAATAGCAGAGTGGTAGTCTGGAGGGAGCCAGTCACCCATCAGCCCAAAAATGTCCACCCAAATTTCTATGTAGCCCAAGTGTGGAAAATGGATGTATCCTCTCCAGCAAAGCCACAGGCCCTCCATCGATCCTCAGGCAAGGCTAGGAGGAGGGCACCTACCTTCATAGGCCTTTGCTGCATTTACCAGGCTGGACCATTCAAGGCCAGCAGCTGTGTCGGGCAGTGGCATCATTCCGGGGTCAAGGCGCCGCAGCGGCCGCTCCCGCCCATCAGCTAGTGAGAGCTCCGAGGCAGAGATGGCAGCTGGATGGGGATGAGCAGACAGGGAGGTGGCTGAGCATGAGGCGGGAGGGTTGAACATATAAACCCAGTTGGTAGAAACCTCCTTCATAGGTAGGATTACAGACACGTGCCACCACACTTGGCTTGAAAGATTAAGGAACACGGAGGAGGCCCTCAGAAAGGGCAAGGAGGGAAAGAACCCCAGCATCTCCTTCATCCCGTCTCCCATGGGATACAGAGATATAGGGAATCCATCTAGCTGAAATGGCCATGGACTCCTAAGCCAAGACCCTTGGGAAAGAGCACATCTAAACTGAAGGTATGTCTGAATTTTAGGGAGCAATATGTGCAGCTGCTGTGCACTATACTTAACATCCCCAAAAGGCCAAGCAACACTTCATAACTGCCACAGAGCCACTTGTCAATCAGGTGGGCACATTAACGATATAACAGCTGCCTGGGGTACAGTGTGGACTTGTGCACGTGCTGCCTCCTGGCGTGAGAGCCCCTGGGATGAGGGCAGGGGATGAGAGAGGCCAGAAGGCATTGCTAGCTCCTCAGGCTTTCCACCCACACCCCCCCCCCCCATCATGGGGCTTGATCTCTGGGCCTGGGCTCAAGGTGAATGCTCTACCACTTGAGCCACAGCACCATTTCTGGTTTTCTGGTGGTTAACTGGACATAAGAGTCTCACGGACTGTCCTGCCCAGGCTGGCTTTGAACCGTGATCCTCAGATCTCAGCTTCTTGGGTAGCTAGGATTACAGGCGTAAGCCATGGGTGCCCGGCCTCCTCAGGCTTTTTGAGGGGGATGGTATGCCAGAGCACCACTCAGGGGCATGCTCACAGACTATTTGCTAGATAAGTAAAGGGGTGGATATGTCATAATCACACATGCCCTGAAATGTGGCCCAACCATCCAGCCCCCTGAAGCTTATCTCCAGGTGGGGCTGCCCTGCTTCCCTGCCCCAGGTATCAGGCTCACATTTCTTCTCTGGGATGGTGCTGGGGCCTCCTCCGCCAGGCGGGTGGGGGTGCTGGTGCTGGCGGCGGGCAGGCAGCGTGCTGGAGGGGAAGGAGCAGGTGCTGGTGAAGAGCACGTCACTGGGCAGGCCTGGCTCCAGGCTGGAAGGGCTGGCAAAACTGGGTTCCCGACGCCCGCTGCATAGACTCTCATCTGACAGGGTCCGCTGTAGGCCCTTCTGGGGGGACTGCTGCCAAGACAGGGGTAGGATGAGGGGGTGACACATCTGGGCTCATGGGGCTTCTTACTCACCCAGCATCCATTTCTGCCCTGTTTTTCCTTGGGGGCCCCTTGGCTTGCATAGGCCAGTGCCACTCTCCAGCTCCAGGCAAGGGTCAGAGGTCCCTCCAGGGGGGCAGATCCAGGAGAGTCAGGCTAGGGCTCTGGTAGGCACTACTGATGTTAGTGTATCCTGTCTTTAGTGCCTTGGGCTGGTAGTACTATATCCTGGGGGAGATGGATATCTCCTTCTCCCCATCTCCCACTTGAGTTAGGTTCTTGCTACGCAGCCCAGATTGGCCTGTAGTTTGCGATCCTCCTGTCTCAGCCTCCTCAGGGATTGTAGGCATGTACCACCATACACAGCTGACAGCTGAGGTCTGTTTTGGTCCCCATACAGACAGCACCTGCCTGAGAGTGTAGTCAACCAATACAAGGAGGCAGAGGGACAAGAGCTGGCTGAAGGCATTTGGTGTCTACTGTTGTAGTCTCCCCTGGTGTGTGTGTGGGGACGGGGGCGGGGAGTGGGGCCTGAACTCTGGGCCTGGGTGCTGTCACTTAGCTATTCAGCTCAAGGCTAGCGCCCTACCACTTGAGCCACAGCACCATTTCTGGCTTTTTTCTGCTTATGTGGTGCTGAGGAATTGAACCTCATGCATACGAGGCAAGAGCTCTACCACTGAGCCACCTTCCCAGCCCCGCCTCCCCTGTTCTTGAGGAACCATTTCCTTCCTGGGCTCCATAGAGCCTGCCCAGGCTAGCTTCACTCAGGTTCTGTTCCTCACCAGTGGACAGGCCAAGAGAGGCTCGGGTAACTGTGGGGACACTGCCTTCCTCCCTGTCTGGGCCAGCTGGCCACTTGCCACTCACCCCTGCATCCCGCTCTTGCTCTGGCCCCAGGTTGTCCATGATGATGAGTTTCTTTAGGTCGTCCTCGATGGTGGACTTGTAGTTCTTTCGCGGGGATCGCAGGTCTCGCAGGGATGCTCTCAACCGTGGCTGCCCGAAGACGTTTTTTGTGTTGGTGTCTACCTGCCTAGAATGACAGTGCCGGGTGAGGAAGCTTCGAGCCGCTGCCCTCAACTGCCTGTGCCTCCTACTTCACCTGCCCAAAAGTGACAGCAAAGCCACATGGTCTGCTATGGGGACCTCCTCTGGCCAGGCTGCTCCAGGGGGGCTGGGTCACTGAGCCCACATCTAGAAGGGCATCACACTGAGCCAATGAGTGGAGGGAACCCCCATGTGAGGGAGGGAAATAGTCCAAATAAAGCAGGGTACAGGGACGGCCACTGGGAGGAAGGATGTTACTGGCTGATGGGAGGGAAACAGGCCTTTGCTGGGAGTGAGGAGTGAGGCTGTCTAGACTGGGAGATTGCATCACAGGCTGGGGTCCCAGGCTGAGCGCAATTAGGCAGGCCTTGGTTGCAGGTAGACCTGTGGCCTGGGTGCTCTGGGACCTTACGGCTTTGCTTTCCTAACCTGCCACACAGGGTAACCAAGCCCATAAACCACAGGGATTTTTGTTGTTGTTGTTGGTTGTGGGACTTGAACTCTGAGTCTGGGTGCTGTTCCTTAGCTCTTCAGTTCAAGGCTAGTGCTCAACCACTTAAGCCACAGCACCACTTCCAGTTTTCTGAGTTGTTTGCTGCAGATAGTCTCACGGACTTTCCTGCCTGGGCTAGTTTTGAACTGCGATCCTCACATCTCAGCTTCCTGAGTAGCTAGGATTACAGGCATGAGCCACTGATGCCCCGGCTCACAGAGATTTCTTGGAAGGGCAGATACTAGGCATAGAGCCCTTGAAGAGGGGCTACCAGCCTGGAATTGTTTTTGTCAGTCTTGGGGTTTGAACTTGAAGCCTGGGTGCTGTCTTGAGCTCTTCAGCTCAAGGCTAGCACTCTACCACTTGACCCACAGTACCACTTCCAGTTTTCTGGTGGTTCATTGGAGATAAGAGTCTTACAAACTTTCCTGCCCAGGCTGGCTCTGACCTGTGAGCCTCAGATCTCAGACTCCTGAGTAGGTAGGATTACAGGTGTGAGCCATCAGTACCCAGCTCCATTTCAGCTTTTCTGCTGGGCCTCCTGTTCCAGCAGAGCCAACCCACAGTGCTCTCCGCTCTCCCTACAGGGCTTTCTAGAATACCCAGTGATCTACTGGTCACCAAGCCACTGCTGGCCCAATGGACCCGGGTCTGAAGCTCATCTCTGCCCCTGCTCTGTGGGGGCTGCTGCCAAGCATTTGGCCAAAAGCAGACCCAGGACAGGAGGCCTCCACCTCCTTCCTTCCCTTCCTTTTTCCCTCTCTTCCTCCCTCCCTCTCAGTGGCTCAGCCTGTGGTCCCTGCCTGGCTCACAGCAGTGTCCTGGGGTCCTAGCTTGTCTCCTGGCAAGGTTGGCTTGAGGCCCCTGACATGGTTGTACTCAACAATGGCAGGGGCAGGGCCTTACCAGACCGTCTCAGCACTGTCAGCTACTTGCTAGAAACAATCAGCCCCACTGAGAGGAAGGGAGACACTGTGGCACATGGGGGTTGCACTGACCCTCTTTCTCCCAGCAGCTACTGTGGCCTGTAGCTGTCTCTGCTTCCAGAACAAGGTGATCCTCGCCACAGCTGCATGTGCTAAGCACTATCTGCCTCCCATTTCAGGCACAGAGGAGGTAAGCCACTTGTCCTAAGTCACATAGCCTGTGGGTGAAGGACTCATAACAAGGCCACAGGGCCACAGAGCCTATAGGTGCCACTAACAAGCTTGGCTGCCATGTTCATGCTTTATTTATTTATTTATTTATTTTGTCAGTCCTGGGGCTTGAACTCTGAGCCTAGGTGCTGTCCCTGAGCTCCTTTTGCTCAAGGCTAGCATTCTACCACTTGAGCTGTAGCTCCACTTCTGGCTTTTTCTGTAATTAATTAGAGATAAGTCTCACAAACTTTCCTACCCTGGCTGGCTTCCTCAAATCTCAACCTCCTGAATAGATTGGATTACAGGTGTGAGCCACTGGTGCCTGGCTCATGCTTTACTATTTTTTTCCCCCACAATAAAAAAAGCTGTTTTATTGGGGAAATGAAAATGACAGAAACAAGTTGAAACTGGATTGTAGAAGGGTCTGAAAATTTCCTTTAATATTCTCTAAAGCTTGAGGTTCCTGTTTACATGGATCTCATCCTTTCTTCAGACCTCTAATCTCAGCCTGGAATTGAACAGGCACATGGCTTAATTCCCCTGAAAAACTTCCTGTTTCAAGTACTGATCCTGTTCTACTTCCAATCCCCTATTTTGAGACAGAGTTTTCCTATATAGTCTAGGACATCCTCTTGATTCAGCCTTCCCAGGGCAAGGATTACAAGTATGTACTACCATGCCCAGCTTTGATGACCATATTTATATCCCAGATGGAATGAACAAACTATATTTGGTACATGGAGCATGTTCACAGCTGATTAAAAAACATGCTCTTGTATGCAGAAAAAGATTTCTGGAAGAAATGGAGAGCAGTGATTCTCTTAGGAAGCAGCAGTCATATTAGGAGGTGGAAAAAATGAGATCTTCACATTCTCTCTAATATCCTTCCAAACTGAACTCATTTTATCCTAATCATGTCTTGTAACAATGAGAACTAGTTTTAAAAAGGCTGGCACCTGACCTTCATCATTCTGTAAATCTAGAAAGAAAGAGTCTTTGAGGCTAGAGAAGAAACAAGATGTCTTGGGCTCCAGAGGGTTTTGAAGTCTGAATTTCCTTTCTCTCTCCCAGCTGCTTGCCTTGGGATTTTAACAAAGGGAGGCAGAGAGGCAGCAGGTTGTTTTCTGTCCAGTCTTATTTCTCTCCAGGTCAGAACTGCAGGCAGAGGGCGAACTGGCTCTGTCCCTGTTAGGGAAGTATATTCTCTGGGCAAATTAAAAGCTTATGATCAGAGGGCAAGAAGTAGAGAGGGAGCAAGAGACAGAAAGAGCAACAATGCACACACTCTTAAGAAGCAGAAGAAGCCTCCCCACCCGCTTCTTTCAATTTGGCATTTCCCAGAATTCCCTGAGTAAAGCCCTACTGCCTGGAGAGGTAGCAGGCCTGGCCTTAGCATGTGTCCCTGCAGAGAGGTGCAGGGCAACTCTCCTCCTGAGGAAAGGGGTAAAAAGCCCCGCGGAGAACTTCAGCAGCACTGGTTGCATCTTCCTCACAAAGGCTCACAGGAACCCTTCTCCTGCACAGGAGCTTCCCACACAGAAAGGTGAAAGCCACCATGGCACAACAAAAACAACGGCCTCTGGAGAGGCATGGATGATGCATGATGCTCAGAGGGAGGAGGCAGCTGGGCGCCCTTGGCTCACACCTGTCATCCTAGCTACTCAGGAGGCTGAGAACTGAGGACTGCAGTTCAAAGCCAGCTCGAGTAGGAAAGTCTGTGAGACTCTTATCTGCAATTAACCACCAGAAAACCAGAAGTGGTACTGTGGCTCAAAATGGTAGTGCATTAGCCTTGGGTAAAAAGCTCAGGGAGAGTGCCCAGGCCCTGAGTTCAAGCCCCATGACAAAGATGATGACAATGATGACCACCAAAAAAAAAAAAAAGGGAGAAGGCTCTCCTGAGGCACACCTCATGAAAAAAAGGGCAGTTATGTATAGTGCCAAACCATTTTTAGAAAACCTACTCAGTTTAGTTCACTACACTGGAGTTTTTACCAGACTCAGCAAAAGTGGACATGTACAGGATTCTTCTAAAAACATCCTCTTCACAGCCCATGAAGTCCTCAATCTCCTCTCTTCCCTCACGTCATTCTTGAAACACGACAGGCACATTTCTGCCTCAGGATCTTTGCACAGATGATTGTCTAGAGTGACCTTCTAGCTACTGCTTGTGGCTGGCAACTTCTTATCCCTGCACTGAGTTGAAATATTACCTCCTTGGGCACCTCCCCTGACCACTCAATCTTTTTTTTTTTTTGGTCGGTCATGGGGCTTGAACTCTGGGCCTGGGCGCTGTCCCTCAGCTCTTCAGCTCAAGGCGAGCGCTCTACCACTTGAGCACTTCCGGTTTTCTGGTGGTTTATTGGAGATAGGAGTCTCACGGTCTCTCCTGCCCGGGCTGGCTTTGAACCACGATCCTCAGATCTCAGCCTCCTGAGTAGCTAGGATTACAGGCGTGAGCCACCAGCGCCCGGCCCACTCAATCTTTTGTTGCTCCCTCCCAGCCTGGTTCTTAGTCATGCAGTCCTGTAACTACTTTCTCCCCATGTTCTTTCAGTGCAACATGTCTCAGTAGTAGCATGCCTGCCAGGCATGTGTGAAGTCCTAGGACCCCTCGCACTGCACTGTTCTAAGGGCTCTTTTTTTTTTTTTTTTTTTGTCTCCAGATCTCTGGTTTCTCCAATTGCCCAAACCTGTGACCTGGTGGGAGGTGTGTGTAAAGGGGCTTCTCCAAGCCATTAACAAGAATGAAACCATTTTCCCATGTGGAGAAGAGCAAGTGGGGAACTGAAGTGGTCCTCTTGATCTATGAAAAAGGGGAGCAAGAGACACATATGATCGTGTGCACTTGGTCATGTTTGGCACACATCTGGGAAGATGCAGAAGGAAGGAAATAATGGCACTTGTGGGTAGAGTCTGGGGGCCAGGGACAAGAGGGGGGCTTATTTTTGTTGTTGCTGCTGCAAATCCTTCTGTACTATTTTAGTTTCTACCTTGTGTTTTATCTTTCAAAACATAAACACATGTTAAAAAAAATCGTCAAAGTTCTGTTCTACAGCCCTGAACATGCATAATAGCTGATGTGCCTATGTTGTCCAAGTCTGGGTTCTGCCATGTTGTAGAAAAGTGAAGAGAAAAATGTAGGAAGAAGGCTGGGCATTAGTGGAAGGCAGCGAGCAGGTCAGATGTGGCTGGGCTGGATCCCAGATGACTAGGAGCTCTGGCCTCCAACTGGGGTGGCTCCCTCGGGCCCCATTAATTAAGCTAATTAGCACGGATGGGCCTGGTTGAGCTGGGGCTTGTGCCAATGAGGCTGGCAAGCACATTCAGCCAAGGCCATAACCCAGGCAGCAGACAGACTGTCCTGAGAAGACTGCTGGGAGGAGCTGCTGGACATGTGGGGATAGCCTGTGGTACAGGGTGGACTGGGGTTCAAGGAGAGGTCTCAGAATCAGAAGGGAGCCTGGAGCCAGTACTGGCCATTACAGGCCGGGCCACAACCCCCTGATCCTGGTCAAGGCACTTCTTTCTTGGTCTGGAAATGAGTAAGAACAAGATCTTTTCTGTGGGATTGCTTGGGTCTTCAAAGTGAGTGGAGCAGTCTGGCTGGCAGACAGGGCTCTGAGTGGAGAGAAGGGGAGCCACTGAAGGCTAGAAGCAGGGAGTGCATGGAGTTTTCGGAATCCCCTCTGGCAGTCAGCAAGGCACCTGACCTAGGCTCTCAGTGTGGACACATAGCTTGCCTGCCCACACCTCCAGGGGCCTGGACGTCCCGACATCACTCCCCCTCTACGCTCTGTTGTCACAAGTTTGAGCCCATCCAGCTCATAAAGATGTTAGGAGGACAGTGTCCCATCCAACAGCACATAAGCCTTGGGCCTGGCTTCCTGGGCTGACTCCTGGCCAGTTGTGTGACCCTGGACCTCAGTTGCCTCATCTGTAAAATGGGGGAAGAATCAACTCCCCAGAGCTGAAGTAATTCATGGAGATCTTAGAACTAGGCCTGGTATGTGGTAAGTGCTTAATATGAGTGAGATCACATTCCCCAAGTGAAAACTCCAGATCCTTTCTTTTTCTTTCTTTCTTGTTTTTGTAAAAGTGTTGGGGTTGGAACCCAGGGTCCTTGTGAATGCTGGGCCAGCACTCCACCATTGAATCCCACTCCACTCCTACCCTAGTCCTACCCTCTCCTCTCTTTGCTCTGTAGCAAAACGCCTCAAATGAGGTGCTCAGTTCAGCCTTTCTCTCTGACACCTCAGGTGACCTTCAAGGCTTGATCTTGTACTCAGTTCCCAGGCTGTCCAATCCAACCTCCTGGTCTCTTATGGCTTCTACCCTGGGCTCCTTTTGCTGGCAGTGCCATGTCAGCCTCGTTTCCTGGCTCTGCTTTGTCCACTTCAATCCCTCTCTGCTGGGCTCCAAGCCCCTCTTCCTTTGCCTTCTGTCTGGCATGTCCAGAGCCCCCCATGCCCATGCCGTGCCCCTCAGCTCAGTTGAGTATCTGTCCTCCATTTCTCTCCTACTATACTACCCTGTCAGAAAGGCCTGGGTGCTGGCTTCAGACATTATCCCAGGTCCATCCCCTCTCCCCCCCCCCCCCCCCCCCCCCATCTGGACAGCAGCAATTCAGGGCTCCTTGTGGGTTGCTCTGTATGTAGCGACAGGGATGCTGCAGGTAAACAATTCAGGCCATGTTTGGCCTGTTCCATACCATCTAGTGGCTCTGTGGCACTTAGAGGAGATGTCAAAGCCCTTAACTACAGCTCCCAAGCTCTCCCATGGTCAGTCCCTGTTGCTGCTGTCACCTCACATCCCATCACCCTCCTCACCCACATGGCTGAAGCCACACAGACCCTCCATCCACAGCAGATATGTGCTCCTGCCTCAGGGTCTTTGCATGTGTTCTTCCTCAGCCTGAATTTCTTTCTTCCTTTCTTTTTTGTGTTGGCCTTGGGACTTGAACTCAGGACCTGGATGCTGTCCTTGAGCTTTTTTTTTGCTCAAGCCATCACTCTATCACTTGAGCCACAGAACCATTTGCTGCTTTTTTGGAGATTAGGTTTTCGTGGACTTTCCTGCCCAGGCTGGCTTCAGACCAGATCTCAGATCTCAGGTGTGAGCCATCAGTGCCTTCCTACCTGAATTTCCTCATCCACTCACCAGATACTCCTACTTTATTTCCTATCACCCCAGCCCAGTGCCAGCTCCCCAAAGCCAGGGCCTTTGTCTTCTTGCTCACAGCTGTATCCTCAATTTGAGTGAGAGTCTTTTCAGTCTTTTTCTCTTTTCAGTGAGAGTCAGGCATGACCGTCCTATTGTATCAGACTCAGGGCTACACCGCACACAAGCACTTACTTTTTGGGGTCAGTAAAAGGGAGTGGCCGTGGTGGGGGCTCATCCGTTCTCTTCCACCCTGTTGAATGCTTATTACGCACAGGCTGCTTGGAGAAGAAGGACTTGGGGACCGAGGTGGAGAGCTGGAAGGGGCTGGACTGAGCCAGCTGAGAGGCCCGAGGTGTCTCTGCACTGGCTGTTTTGTAAACCTGAGCAGGGTAGCCAGCCCTGGAGCCCATGTCACTGCAAAGACAAAGGAAAAGAAAGTTCACTTATGAGAAGGACACAAATATTTGATTTTTTTGGGGGGGGCAGGGGGAGGGCAGAGGGTTCCAGGATTGGAGATTGAACTCAGGGCCTTGAGCTCTCATTCACAGGGTGGTACCCTACCACTTGAGTCATGAAAACCCACTGCTTTGTGGGTAAGAGCAGAGAGAACTTGTGGCATTTTGGCCTAAGGCTGCCTGCCCACCTCCCCTGGCTTGATGGATACGGCAGTTCTTCCAGAGCAGAACCTTTGGGATAGCATCAAGGGTACACCAAGACTTAAACATGTGTTTTACAAAGGAGAGGAGAACAAGGGGCTGGAGAAATAATGGTTGAAGAAGTCTTAAATCTGGCTAACCTAAACTCTCCCACCCCCCCAAAAAACCCCTCATATTAGTTTACTCATCTATGAAGCTCAACACTCCCCAAATAGGATAAATACGAAGACATTTATACCTAAAAAACAAAACAAACACACCTGGAAGTTAAACTCTAAGATGAAAATTTTAAAAGGCATTGAGAGTCAGAGGATTCTTTTTTTTTTTTTTTTTTTCCTGGGTCTGGTCATGGGGCCTGAACTCTGGGCCTGGGCGCTGTCCCTCAGCTCTTCAGCTCAAAGCTAGTACTCTACCACTTGAGTCACAGTGCCCACTTCTGGCTTTTTCCTTTTTTTCTTATGTGGTGCTGAGGAATCGAACCCAGGGCCTCATGCATGCAAGGCAAGTGCTCAACCACTGAGCCACCTTCCCAGCCCGAGAGACAGAGGATTCTAACATACACAATTATCATTTACTGATTAAAAGTAAAGTAGAAGTAAGACATACACTTCTTCTAGTTGAGCTGGGGTTTTGTTTCTTGTGGCTAGCACTGTCATGACCACCTGTCTTTAGGCTCTTCTAGCAAAGCAGGGCCTTGACAGTTATTCCCCAGGACACGAGGGCCATCTCAGCCTGAGGGGTGCTCCCTCTCACACCCCACGGATCATGAGTGCCATGGCAGGTGTCAGGTGTGCTTCCCAGATGGAGTCTTCACCCCCATCTGCAGTGACCAGTGAGAATGTTCCTTCATGTACTTGGGATCTCCCTGGGCCTCAGAATCGACTAATGGCAAGGTTGATGAGGACATGGACTCTGATGTCTGCTTAGCCAGGTCTCAAGCCCAGCTCCAACTAGCATTAATGGCTTCTGGGTCATCCCTCATCCTCAGGGATGGTTTCCTCCTCTGAGAAACGAGCCAGCAACAATACCTGTCCTATAGATCACACAATTAAGTGCTCAGCCCAGGGCTCTGGCCCTGTTCTCCCAGCTGCAGCTCTGAGGGAGATGGTGTGTTTCAGGGCTTGAAGCTCTGCTAGGGGCTCAGAGAGGACTAGGGTACAGGAGAGGTAGTGTCCTGCTCTGCCCTCCACCCACCTTCAACCAGAGGCCATGTGATCATGTTGTATATCTTTTTTTTGTTTTTGTTTTTTGGTTAGTTGTGGGGCCTGGGTGCTGTCCCTCAGCTCTGCAGCTCAAGGTTAGCACTCTACCACTTGAGCCACAGTGCCACTTCCATCTTTCTGGTGGTTAATTGGAGATAGGAGTCTCACGGCCTTTCCTGCCCGGGATGGCTTTGAACTATGATCCTCACCTCTCAGGCTCCTGAGTAGCTAGGATTATAGGCATGAGCCACTGGTGCCCAGCTATGTTTTATATCTTAAGGAAGTAAATCTAGAAGAAAAGGGTTTGTGGCTTACGTAAGAGCTGGAAACCAGAGGCAGGAGGGAGAGGCCCCATTGCTGTGCACGTGTGCACTGTGGCTTGTCCATGTGGGTCTGGGGGCTCTGAAAGGTTCTAATGGAGACTCAGGATGGACAAAGCACAAAGACAAGGTGTGGCAGCAGTGATACAGCCAGGCCTTGTTTTCAGCCCCTCCCTCAGGCACCACCTCACTGAATGGCTCTGTAACAATGAAGCAGAAACTACCGCTAGCGTATTTCAAGTGGGGAAGCAGAGGCCCAGACTTAAAGAATTTGTCTCCAGTGACACAGTTGGAAGGGACCGAGCAAGGATGCAAACCTCGGCTCTCAACAAGTCATATATATAATACAAGCCAATAAAACAGCAGCAGCTGCTATTTCCGTACCCAGCTATGTCTCAGGCCCTGCTGCAAGCTCTTTAAATTCACAGTTTTAAATCACAGTTCATCCTCCCAACCTCAGACCGTGGTTCTCATGATTGGCCCATTCCATAGATGGGAAGCTGAGCCTGGACATAGGCAGGGAGACACAGAATCAGGAAGTAATACCACTTGCTTCCACAGCCCAGCCAAGCCATCATGTGCTGTTTGGTAGATGCCTGGTTTAACCCTGGACCAGTCCTTTTTTTTTTTTTTTTTTTGCAGCACTCAGAATTGAACTCATGTCTCACTCTTACTAGGCAGATACTCTACCACCTGAGTCAGGCCTCCAGATCTTTTGGTCTTGGTTACTTTTTGGAAGGAACATTTGACTTTTTATGCCCAGGAAGGGCTGGGCTGTGATCCTGCTACTTGTGGTTCCCCTGCCACTGGGGATCACTGGAAATGATGGGGGAGAGAAAAGGACTTTTGTGAACTTTTATTTCCAGGCTGGCTTTGAACCATGATCCCACCCCCAGCTCTGCCTCCCACATAGCTAGGATTATGGGCTTAAGCCACTGCACCCCACTTGGACCAGTCTTGCTTCTCTCCCTGATATCTGCCCTGGGCTCCAGTTGGCCCAGTCCCAGCACGGGGCTAGAATTGGCAGACTTCAGGGTAGGATCCAGGAAGGGCCAACCTTGTGACCTGAGAAGCAGAAATGACAGGTCTTCAAGGATGTGGAAACAAAGGATAAAGACTTAAAATAGAGCCTTGTTTGACAACTGCTGGCACCTCTACCTGGGCTCACCTGTCAGAGCCATTGAAACAGCCTTCCCTCATCCTCCCAGACTCCTCACCACAGCCAAAGGGGCTGTGTAAACATCTAAATCACACCAGGCTTGGCTCTTAGGGACAGAGCCAGAGCCATCCCATAGGCCTCACTCTATCTGCGATGACGACTCTGCTCCAGCCACACAAGGCACTATCCCTCAAATATGCAGAAACATTTCTACCTCAGGACCTTTGCACTATCCCCTTACTCCATTGCTTTCTCCCTCAAACTGCCTAAGTTCTAGTTTCTAGTTTCCAAACTGGCTAAGTAGGCCTGTGTGACCCCAACCTCTTAACTAGTGCAGGCAGGGAAGCCCCATGGACCCCAGGGCTCCCAGATTACCTTTTAGAGCTGTGCCCAGACGGAATTCCGAAGACTGCTGGCCCAGCCCCGGGAAGCGAAGCCACGTGCTTCCTGCCTGCGGGAACGCCCAGCTGCGTCAGCTCCACGTGGAGCGGACTCTGCTTGCTCTGCTCTGCACAGCTCTGACAGAGTGCTCTGGAAACCAGAAGGCTCTGGCGTGTGTGCTGCCTCAGGGCAGGGTGGGGCCAGGTGGCTGCCCGCCTGAGCCGGCTCGGCCCTCAGTGGTGCCCACAGAAGGCACTGGCGCCTGGCAGTAAGCCTGGCAGCCAGGCTTCCATGACGAGCGTCTGGGGGGAGTGTCTGTGAAGTCGCTGAAGTCATGGATGGGCACCAACTGCTACAAGCAGGGGCTGGAGCCAGGGAAGGGAGAGGGTGGGGTTCTCTGCATGGGTATCGAAGCCCATCACTGTCCTCCTCTAAACAGTCCATTTCCCAAAGAGAGGCCCAGTGACTCCCCCCCACCCCCCTCCACTTGAGTCAGGGTAGCCTGGAAACTATATCCATCCTCTTGTCTCAGCCTTCTAAGTGCTGAAGTTTTGGCATGTGCCACCACACCTGGCCAAGTGGTCCTCTAAAAAACATGTCAAATTGTAAGCTCAAATGCCTCCATGGCACCCACATCCCCCGGCATTAAATTGTCATGTCTAACATAGTGATAATCTTGCTGGAACTGGGCTCTGACCACCACGACAATCTGACCTCTTTCAATGCTCCTTGCCCTGCCCTGCCTCCACTGAGGCTACCTCCTAGTACAATTTACTCATGGACTTTGGTCATTATTTGCTTGCTGTCTCCCCAGGTCTACTAGGTCTGGTGTCCGGCAGTGGGCCTTGCACATCAGGCTTTGCATAGAAGTACTACTAGGTTCTATGTTGCACAGAACCAAGGGTATTGAGCTTGTGCAAGGTACTCCAAGTTACTTGTCCTTGATGTGCTGAGGCTGGGCACAGGCTGCCACACCAGCTGTGTCCAGAGACCACAAGAGATTGGTGGATGTGGAGATGTACTTGGGGTATTAGGACTGCTTGTAACAGGCGTGACCCAAGGAGACGTTCTTATTAACATTCTTCTGTTCATCTGAGGTCAGCCTTTTTTAATTTTTTTTGTCGGTAACAGGGCTTGAACTCTGGGCCTGGGCACTGTCCCTCAGCTCTTCAGCTCAAGGCTAGCATTCTACCACTTGAGTTACAACACCACTTCCAGTTTTCTGGTGGTTTATTGGAGATAAAAGTTTCACGGACTTTCCTAGCTGGCTTTGAACCACAATCCTCAGATCTCAGCCGCCTAAGTAGCTAGGATTACAGGCATGAGCCACCGGCGCCCAGCTAATTTTATTTATTTATTATTATTTTTTAATTTTTTTGGGGGGGGTCCAGTCGTGGGGCCTGAACTCTAGGCCTGGGCGCTGTCCCTCAGCTCTTCAGCTCAAGGCTAGCGCTTTACCACTTGAGCCACAGCGCCACTTCCGGCTATTTTTTTCCTGCTTATGTGGTGCTGAGGAATTGAACCCAGGGCCTCAAGCATTCAAGGCAAGCGCTCTACCACTGAGCCACCTTCCCAGCCCTCAGCTAATTTTTTTATTTAAATAATCCTCACTCAATCATAGTTACCTTCAGCCTAAAAGCTACTGCTGTGCACTGTTCTAAGGGCTCTTTTTTTTTTTTTTTTAAACTTATTTAGTGTTGGGGGAGCTGTATTGGAGACTGAACTCAGACCTTGAGCTTGCTAGGTATGCCAGTGCTCTACTACTTGGGCCATATCCCAGGTTCTTTTGCTTTAAACTCTTGTTTTTCAGATTTGCATTAACTACCAAGTAGGCCTTGGACTTCAGCCTCTAGAGTAGCTAGGATTACAGGATTGCACAGCTACAACTGGCTCATTTAAACCTGGCCACATCACCCTGAGGTATGTGATTTATCCTTGATTTCACAGGTAGGGAAACTGAGGCTCAGAGAGGTCAAATCACTTAACCAGGACCAAGGCACGATGTGACAAGTCAGGGTATGGATGGGAAACCCTTTTCCCGCCTCAAAAAAACAAACCTATAACAGCCGACATTTCCCTCCCCACACCACCCAAATCACCTCTACCACCCCATTTTGGGAAACACTGTTCCACACTAAAGCCCCGTTGCCTAGGAGAAAACTTCAGGAAGCGGCTTTAATGAGTAGATAAGAATGATTTGCAATTAGCATCAATTGTCTGTATGCAAATTAAAGCTCCCAACCACAGGGCACTCTTCTTGTAGCAGGAGGCTCTCCTCCCATTTGTTCTCTCTACTTGTGGGCTCTATAAATCCTTCTAGAAGACACTGGGTAATTTTGTACCCACCCCCTGCCTCAGCTTCCACGACTCTGGGCATAATTGCCTTTACATCAAATTTCAAAATGCTGTAATTACTTAGGATCACCAACATGGGTCTATGCCCAGAATGGGGGCCCACTACAGTCGAAGCCAGAGTATCCCCCACCCTCTTGCAGACTTTCTTGGCCCCAGATCCCTGTCCTTTAGGTGGGTGCAGTTCTGAATTTGTCTCAGCAATGATCGAGCTGTCATCTGGGTGAGGGCTGAGGCCTTGTTTAAATTTATTATTTCTCCTCAGCTCCAGCCTAGGTCTGGGATGGAACAGATCTCCAAGAAATATTCACAAGTGAAATGAATGGATGAATAATTCAGTGAGTAGAGGAGCTGTTCAGCAGTCTTCAAGCCCAGAAGATTGAGAACTATTTTTCTAGGGAGAGGCAGAGACTTCACTTGGTTTCCTTTCCCTCCCTCCTACCTACTCCCCATCCCCTGCCTCCCCCCACTGCTGTTTCCTCCTCTGCCCTTCTGAGTGCCTTCAGGAGCTCCTTGGTTCATGGCACCCAGGGTAAGTACTGCCAGTCAACTATGGTGCCTTTCAAAGCTGTCAAGAGTCATGCAGAGACACTGCACAGTCACGACATCATTCAGATAGACAAGATCCAATCAAGGGCAGTATACACAGAAAGGTCAAGGATCATTCTGGAAACCACTGCTTTCACCTTTTTGACACAAGTATCATTATGCAGAAATAGATTCAAACACTGAACTTCTACTGGGAGCTGTGGTCCCAGGGCTGGAAGCTGCTGCCCAGGATTGACGACGAAGCCACTGGCCCAGGAAGTGGGGAAGGCATTGACTAGAGCGGCCAGCCCTGGGGACACTATGTAGTAAAACTTGTTGGGGCTGCTTCTCTGAGAGGTCCTATCAGGCCTATGCAGGCAGTTGGGTAAACCCATTCACCTCCTTCTGGCCACTTTCCTTCTAGCAGGGGCCAGATGCTGCACTAACAGCATTGGCATAAAAAAATTGAATTCTTGCCTAGCGGGTGGATCAGCTCACAATGTTCACTAAAGAATACTAGCTACTTGGGAGTTGGAGATCAGGGGATTGCATCTGAGGTCAGACCAGGTATAGAAGTTCACAAGATTCCATCTCGGTCAATGGCTGGGTACAGAGGTATGTTCCTACCCATCCCAGAGACAAAGGGAAGCACCTATAGGAGGACTGCAATCCCTGACAGTTCAAGTATTAAGCAAAACCCTATTCTGACTCTACAGAGACTGACAGAGTGCTTACTGAGCAAGCAGGAGGCCCTGAGTACAAATAAACAAGGCAAATTATTTATTGCTTCCCCTCCCCCCATCAGAAACTTCAAGTGAGGCCCAACAGTCCGCACTGACTAAACAACAGGGATGGGTTGAGGATCAGTGCTTTACATTATGGGGCTGGAAGGCCAAACCAAGCCTGGAGCTGGGATGGGCCATGACCCCTGCTAGTGCACAGAAGCGGGACAACCTTTCCTATTATCTGTCTCTCACCTTTGCTAGCCTCCTACCCCTGTTGGCCACCTGGAGACCAGAGGTGCCAGTATGTGAAGAAGGTGGGGAGGAAGTTGCAGAGAGCCAGGTCTTGAGGCCTCCACGGGCTGCTGTGCCAGACCTGCTGCTCCAGTCCAGCTCTGCCCTCCCTGGATGTCCTGTCAGGAATGTTAAACCCGTCTGTTTAAGCCACAGCCAAAGACAACCACACGCCTAACCGATACGGGCTGTGACCCTCAGAAAGCATAAAAATCCACTGGTCTCAGCAAAAAAAGAAGTGAGAGGCAGAATCAAAGTGAGAAAGACAGGCAGGGGCACTGATCCATGGGTAGCAGGAAGTAGCCCATGAGCCTCCCAATTCCACGAGCAAAACGAGTGTGTAAGCACCTCCAAGAGTGAGCACAATTCTGGGAAGGAGAACTCAACCATCAGGACTGTGGGTGGAAGGTGGCTGGGACTTCTGGAAGACCTGGGCTAGGGGCAGTGCCTTACCTGGGTTGCCTTGGTGGGTCTCGGCTGCCCCCGGCCAGGCCTGTGGGGGTGCTGGCGCCTGAGGAGTACAGTTTCGGCCGGTAGCCCTTGCCCTGGCCAGCAACTGCGGGGGTCGGGGAGACCTCCCGCCGCCTGTCTGCGTGGTGGGGCCTTGCAGCGGACTCTCGGCCACCACACAGACCAATACTTCCAGGGGGCTTGTGTGGCTTGGTGGGCCGTGGCACTTTGGCCAGGGACATGCAGCTGGGGCTGGAGGTATAGAGCGTGGTGTCAATGCCGCTGTCACTGGAGCCGCCCTTGGAGAGGGGGTCTTGCTCGGGCTCCAAGGGGTCCAGAGGGTCAAACCAGCGGTCGTCGCTGTGGCTGCTGGACGCATTGCTGGACAGGGTATTGCTGCTGGAATGGCTGGAGTACTGAGGTTCGCCCTAGAAGGCAAGGACAGGCGTTACCCCAGACAGCTTCTAAGCCTGGCTCCTATTTCCCAGCCCTATTACCCCAGGCAAGGGTCTGCCTCAGTTTCCACTTGTGTAAGATAGGCAAGGAGGGTAGAATAAGTAAGTGCCTTGTGGGGTGCTCAGAGGAAGAGCTGACATTCATAGGTGATGTATATATCCCACACCTCAGATTCAATGTGCCTCAAGCTGGGCTCGGCCCCTCTCCACAGCATACCACCTTCCTCTAGTGTGGCTTGGATGCTCTGGACTCACCCTTGGCCCAGCTTGCTACCCCCACCTACCTCTAACTCCACTCTGGTCCTGCCTACCACTGCAACCCACAGGCCCTCTCTGTACTGCATCGTATCCTTTCTCCTGGTACTGCGTGTCTTGCTTAGGGGAAAAGCCAGAATAGAATAGAATAGAATACCAGGTCTTGATGGGCGTGGCACCTGTTCTGCTCACCTCACCTGCTCCCTCTAGACCACTCTATTCTAGCCACATTGGTCTTCTTGCTGTCCACTAAGCACGCAAAGCATAGTCCACCTCAGGGCCTTTGCACTTATTTTTCCTGATGCTTCACCATTCTTCCCTAGGCTATTTTCATGGTTTATTTCCTACTTCATTCCAGGTTTTGACTTAATGTCACCTCCTCACTGACCACATTATCTTAAACGCTGGAAGTGGCGGAGGCTCCCAGTATCTACCATACTGTGAGTATGGGCAACAGGACTGACAAGAGCTCCAATGACATACACAACTACATTTCCCAGCCTGCCTTGCAGGAGTGGCGTGCAGGCAATGCAAGTGGGAGTGATTTCATGTCATTTCCAGGCCTTTAAGCCAGGATAAAAACCTCTCATTCCCCTCTCTTCCTTTCACTCTGAAGAGAACTCAGCAGAGCCATGAGGGAGAAAGAGCCTGGGTCCCCACCAACCCTGTGGAAAGATGCTCACTGAAGACCTGTACTGCATTGCTATAGGACAAGGACATGAACTTGTACTGTTTGAGGGCTAGGGGTTCATTTACCAGGACTGATGTAGTGATAAGAAAACAGGCTTGGGAGGTAAAGGGATTTATTCAAGATGGCCAGCTGAGGAGGGCTGGAGTGAGGCTGTGAGCCTGTCTGGATCAGACCACACTCTAGACCAAGCATCTGGCCTACTCAGGGCAGATGGGAAAGTGAAGGATGAGCTGCAGGTAGTGTATCATGAAGAGGCCACACCCCAAGAGAGCTGCCCAGCCTTGCAGGCTGTTCCACTCCCTGGGTGGGGCCAGGTGAGATGGATTTGGGACTCACTTTGGAATGCCTGTTGGGGGAATCTTTGCCTGCCACATCCTGCCTGGAGGTGTGCTTGCTCCCACTGCTTCCCGCCATGGCTGACAGTCGGGCCTGGGCTGGCACATGCCACAAAGGCTCTGCAGGACAAGAGACACAGCAGTGGTTAGAGGGTGACACAGGCCAGGGTCTGAAAAAACAACAACTGGGTTGTAAATATGGTTTCATGTCCTACCCCTCTGGCCAGCCTGCTCACCCAAGGTACAACCCCCATCAACCTAAGCCGTGGGGTACAGCACACTCAGAAGCCACCAACATTCACTGAGCACTTACTGTACCCAGGCACCAACCCAAGAGCCCTATGCAGATTCAATCGTTTAACAACATACAACAATCTACCACCATCCCCAAATGAGGCCCAGCACAATTCTACTCTCACTGGCCTGGTAGATTTTTTTTCTTTTGTAAATTACTTGTCCATCTCCCTCCTTCATTATTCTTTTTTTTTTTTTGGTCCGGTCGTGGGGCCTGAACTCTGGGCCTGGGCGCTGTCCCTCAGCTCTTCAGATCAAGGCTAGCACTCTACCACTTGAGCCACAGCCCCACTTTCAGCTTTTTTCTTTCTGCTTATGTGGTGCTGAGGAATCGAACCCAGGGCCTCGAGCATGCAAGGCAAGTGCTCTACCACTGGAGCCACCTTCCCAGCCCCTCCCTCCCTCCTTCATTCTTCTATGGGACCAATTATCTATTATCTTATTGGCTACTAGAGGTGTTTTTTTTTTTTTTGTCGTGGGGCTTGAACTCTGGGCACTATCCTTCAGCTCTTTAGCTCAAGGCAAGTGCTCTACCACTTGAGCCATAGCACCA